TTTTCAACTCGGAAAGTCTTCCAGGCTCAGCTTAAATTTTCCCTCCTGGTGGCATGGTTTGGGAACTTTCTCAAAGCAGTATGCTGGGGTCATCATGGGGCTCACCTAGGTTGTTTCCCATCTCTCAGTGATCATTACCTTTCATTATCCGATGTCTAGTTCTTGCAAACCATTGCTCTCTTTATTTTGTCTCTTGTTTGGTTGTTTCAAATGGGAAGATAAATTTGATTCCTGTTACTCCATCTTGACCAGATGCAGAAAGCATATGAATTCTTTTATGTAATCGCCTTAAAATCGATTTTCTCTCTCATTCATGTTCTATTTACTTTTAAATTTTGGCTATTTGTTAAGATATATAGTTTTTGGTTTTTATGTATTAGATCTTTTGTTTTTGTTTTCAGAACTCATCCTCACTGATTTTTAAATTTGGACAGTTGTTTCTACAATCCCAATAAATAAGATATTTTTTCTCTTTTTTTTTACATTTTGTTTCATATTTAATTATGGAATTAATTTTAGTGTAAGATCTGAGCCTCTTATTTTTCTCTGCAAATTGTTAATTTTGCTGAAATAGTGTTGCATTATACCCGTTTTTTATTCTTGATACTTCCTGTATAATATTTTGCATTTTTATATATTCTAGAATTTGTTTCATTTATACTTTTTTCTTTTGATTTGTAAATTTTAATTACTGTAACTTTATAATATATTCTAATATCTGAACAGGGAAACTTTGCCTCAAGACTTCTCTTTTTAAAAAAATATTCTCATTTACTTATTCTGAACCTTAGAATTATTTTATCTGGGGCACCTGGGTGGCTCAGTTGGTTAAGCGTCCAACTCTTGGTTTCAGCTCAGGTGGTGATCTCAGGGTCATGGGATTGGCACCCCCCCCACCTGCCCCAGGGCTCTGTGCTCAGTGGGAAGTCTGCTTGAGATTCTCTCCCTCTGCCCCTCCCCCACTCTCTCTCGCTCTCAAATAAATAAATATATCTTTAAAAAAAGAATTATTTTATCTAGATTTCACTCTCTGCCTCTCCTCTCCCAAAGTTAATTCCAATGGGATTTTGGTTGGCATAAATATATAACTTCAGAATACTTGATTGCCCTTTTAGGAGTATGGTATATCATTTCAGTTTTTAAAGTTTTCCTTTATATCTCTCATTAAAGTGACACATCAATTAAATGTTTGTGATTTCTTTTCCTCTGAGACCACAACAGAATTTGACATCGGTGACACTCTCGTCTTTGGGGAAATTTATCCCACCACTGCTCTTCTCATAACTCTATCCTGATCCCCCCCTTTTTTTTTAAGATTTTATTTATTTTTTTTGAGAGAGAGAGAGCACAAGTAGGCAGAGAGGCAGGCAGAGGGAGAGAGAGAGAGAGAGAGAGAAGGAGGGAGCCTGACATGGGGCTCGATTCCAGGACCCTGGGATCATGACCTGAGCCGAAGGCAGCCACTTAACTGACTGAGCCACCCAGGTGCCCCCTGATCCCTCTTTCTTACGCCTTCTCAAGTAGCAACTCTGATATCCATTAAGATACCTTCTTTCTCTTTATGGACTCCCTTCATAGATTTTTCCCTATGCAGAGAAACATGACCTATCAGCCAGAATCTCTTTCCAGAGCCCCTGTCCAAACATTTTTGCATTCAGACCTTGCCAAACAGCAGCATCCCTGCTCTGGATACACTGTGCAATTACCCTTCCCTCTTATCTGTTCCATGTCCATTATTTTAGAGCTCTTCAATGTACTCACATCAGCCAAGCTGCAACAAACCATCCAGAAGAAATTATTTTATTTGTTATCTTCCTATAAATATTGGTGTTTTAATAAGGAATCCTTGTTTTACTTCCCCTGACTCTTCCAAAATTGAGTAACCCTCCATGGAACTTTCTAATAGTGCTGTAGGTAGGCAGGGACAGGATGTGGGTGCTGATAATATTTTCATCACATCACTCATTCTAGCTCTGTATCAGTCGGGGCCAGTCAGGAGATGGAAACTACTTAATATTTGGAATATTTGGAAAGTTTAATATAAAGAATGGTTAACTATAACAGACCATTGCAGTAACAAGGGATTGGCTCGTCAGAAATGAAGAGAACTCTAGGGAATATAGTAACAGCAGATAAAAGGAACAGAGAATACCCCTGGAGCTGAAATAAAGTGCCCAAGGAAGGAGTCCCTCACCAATCTCACACACATAACTGAGGTCCAGACCTTGTCGAAAAGGGCATAGCAATGGCTCACTGCTGCTGAGCCAGCAAAACTTGCTGGAAATCTACCTCCAGAACTTTCTGGAAATTGATGGCCTTTAAGGTGCCAGAGAAAGCTGTTCATGGGCAGGTGTCCTGCTAGCAGTCCTCTGCTATGACACTGCATAAGGGGGTTGGCCAGGGAAAGCTGTTGGCCGCTGGGTGCTACTGACCACTGTGCATTGCAGATAGCAGAGGCTGGGGAAGCTACCTGTACTAGAGGAGTTGGGGGCTGGAGAAGCTACCTGTACTAGAGGAGTTGGGGGCTGGAGAAGCTACCTGTACTAGAGGAGTTGGGGGGCTGGAGAAGCTACCTGTACTAGAGGAGTTGGGGGCTGGAGAAGCTATGGCAGGAGTCTGTAGGGAGATGCACACTAGAACCAGGAAGACAGCTCCTCCTTCTTACAGTGTCATTCGAGTGCCCTCTACTGACAAAGCTTAACAACCTGTTGGTAGGCAAAGCATAAGTATTCAAAGGATCCGCCTGTTTTTTCACAGAGCAGCCAAAAAGGGTGAAGGTGGAACTGAGAGGTAATAAGCTGACAGCTATCATGGGTATGTTTCTACACATGCTCAAATCAGGGCGCCTGGTTGGCTCAGTCAGTTAAGCATCTGACTCTTGATTTCAGCTCAGGTCATGATCTCAGGGTCATGACATCAAACCCCATATCGGGTTCCATGGTGGCTGTGGAGCCTGCTTAAGATTCTCTCTCTCTGTCTCTCTCTCCCCCTCCCCCTCCCCTCCCTCTCTTAAAAAAATACTCATATAAATATCTAGATGACTTTGGTTATTTCTACCATACCCGGACATTCTACTTGCAAACCTTTCAATTATCTTAGTTCATTGTAAGGGCAGAGATTTTTTTTTTCCTAATTTATGTATTCCAGTGCTTGCCAGAAATTTCTATTGTCTGTTCTCAGCACATACATGTTAAATGCTCAAGGGCAACGGTCTGAGTAGGCAATATAGCTCAGTGGTTGAACAGACCCTGGAGCAGACTACTTAGGTTTGAACGTGATTCTGCCACTTACTGGCTATGACTTTGAGCAAGTATTCCATCTCTTGTGTGCCTCAGCTTCCTCATCTTTATAATAGGAACAATAGTACCTAACTCACTGGCTTATTGGGAAGATTAAATGCGTTAATACAGGAATCTCCCACTTAATAGTAGCAATCCCTTTAGGAAAATCAGATTTCTGCAGGAAAATCTGGAGCCTATTTTCTGTTACTTTAAAAAAATTTGAGGGGCGCCTGGGTGGCTCAGTTGGTTAAGCGACTGCCTTCGGCTCAGGTCATGATCCTGGAGTCCCGGGATCTCTCACTTTTGCTTCCTTCTCTACAATTTTCTTCAATGCTTTCCCAACTTTGTTTTGAACTCAGTGTATAACCCTAGGCCAAAACAAGGGTTAAGTATGAAAGTCAGCAGGGCACATGTTCAACCCTAAGTGGCAGGGGAGGATGAACACTGAGCAGGATTGTGAGACCTTCTAACCCCGCCCCCCCCAATATCCTAAGGGGCATCTCTAGACACTCTTCTTGTGTTGAAAATAACTGTACTTTTCAAAAGATTTATGCTGGTATTTGATCTTTACCAGTTGTATTTGGAATGTAACTTTTCCTGAACTGTTAAAAAACAAAACAGTTGTTTTGTTTTAAAATGTATTGAGTTTGGTTTATGTAAATATAATTCCCCCCCCCACCAGCAGCTGGAACGTGTGGGATTGAGAAATCCGTACTCCTTTACAGATTTTAGGTATTAAAAACCAAGAAACATTCTACCAGGAAAACACCAAGCTTAGAGCCTTTAGAATACTTCTGGCCGACAGAATATGATATAAAGGTTTGCCGAGTCTGACTTACTAAGTTTGTCAATAGTTGTATTGTCATTCCTTATTTCACTCCTTGCAAAAATATTTTTTCATCTCCTACTCTGGGCCAATTTTGCCAGCCTTAAGGGTAGAATGGTGAATGAGATCTGGTCCCTACTTTCAAAGAGTCAACAACTCAGGGGGAAATGGAAGGGCAGATTGCTGTAGCTGCCTGCAGGGGCTGCCCGGGAGGGAGGCAGGAGCACCGCGTGGAAGCCAGAGATCCGCGCACCAGGTCGGCGCTGCGCGGCTGGGGCCAGAGCTAGGTCTGCGATAGAAGCAGCGGGGCCGGACCCGTTCCACCCCGAACCCAGCGGAAGAAAGCGACGTTCTATTCGTTTTGCGATTGGAAGCCACGGAAAGGGTTAATCAGAGGGAGATTATGTGACAAAGTTTTTGAGAAAGATCTTCTGTGTTACGTTTTGAATCTTTGATGCTTTGGTACTTTGGGGACAGAGGATGACATTCTCGTATTCTCATTAGAGACGCCGCACTCGCTTTCCTGGCCTCCCAGCTGTAGGTGCGACTGTGGGCCAGTAAGGGATCTTGGAGGAACAACCTAAACCCACATTCAATAAGGCAGCACAGAAAGGGAATCGGCCGTAGGGAGGAAATCAAAGTGGACCGCTCGGGGCTGCGGCAGCGGTCCAGGGACAAGAGCGAGCGGGCCGAGGAGTCGGCTGAGAAAGTAAATTCACTAATTCCCACCCCCGCACTGGAGCGGACCTCACGTAAAGACACCGACCATTTCAACCTCCCTCCAATCCACAATCTGAGGCTCCGGGCCCGGAACTCCGGGCTAGATGGCCCCGCCCCGGAACCTGGTGTTGCCGGAACTAAACGCCGAAGTTCCTTTTGTTACCACCGGTCGCAACTCTTACGGGTCGCTTCCGGTGAGGAAACATGGCCGCGGCCGTTCGGGACTCACGTGTGGGTGCAGGGAAAAAGCTGAAAAATTCACTGAAGAAGAAGAAGAAGATGAAAATGGTAGCCAGGGCAGTAGCTTCGGAGTTGGAAGATGAGGGCAAAGACGCTCCCAACAGTGGAGGTAACGTACTAGGGTTGAGCTGAAAAGAAAGGCCGGGTTGAATTCGCGGGAAGCAGGTAATGCGATTGGCTTTGCTGCAAGTTTTATCTCGGGTGGCGTCGAAGGGGCGACTTTGGCCCAGTGAGAAGGCTTGAAGGTGGTGTTTAGGGAAGGGACGCTTTGAACTTCCACATTCTTTTACTAGACATTGTCACCGTCACTGTTACTTATTAAAAGGGATGAAAGCAGCAAAAAGGTTACAATGATAGAAGGCAAAATGAGAGGGGATATTTAAAATTACAAAAGTGGGAAAAGTTTCTTAGGGAACGAGGAGCAAAAGGCCAAAAGAGCTAAGAGGAAGATGAATGGTATACTTGACTTTTCTTGGGTGGTACGTGCGTGACTCTGGGAGTCAGAGACCTGATAGCAGTGAATGAAAGAAGAGGACGTGGTTAGAGTAGAATAAATAAAAGTATCAGTTGATCTCTCAGAGACGCTTGTTGAAGGAAGGAAAGATATTTTGAGGCCTTCAGCCATGATGTGACCATGCTGCTGCTCTTTACCATCATTCTTGGCATTAGCTTCTGAGGTTACAAGGAATTTGAGATGACCCCTGACCTTCTAATGTTCCAGTTATTGCTCCTTAATACTAGCTAGAGCTTTGTAACAGCCAGAACTATTCTTTTATAATGGACCTCAGATCATGAGAGTTATCTGCTCAAGATGGGCCAGTGGCTTCCCATCTCAGATTAACATCCGGAATCCTTAGATTGTATGATGTAGCTCAGGTCGTTTTTTCTCTCATAGTTTTCTACTCTGCCCCCTACTAACTACTAACTGTAATCTAACCACATTGATATCCTTGGGGTTTAACACATCAAACAGGCTCCCACACCGGGGTTTCATCACTTGCTGGCTTCACTGCCTAGAGTATTTTTCAAATACTTGAATGGCTCTCTCTCCCCAACTTCCCTCAATCTCGGATCTAGTGCTTTATCTGCAAGACTTGACCCTCATCACCCTATCTAATGTACCATCACCACTCTTCTTGCCTCCCTACCTTCACTTTTTGACTAATCCTGCTATATTTTTCTCAGTGTTTCCGAAATCATCTGGCATGTTATATAATTGCTGTGTGTTTCTCCCAGCTGAAATATAAGTTCCGTAAGAGTAGAGATGGCTGTATCCCAGTATCTAAAACAGTTCCTGCTGCATAGTGGATTTTTCACAGAAATTTAAGTAAATGAATGGGTAAATCTGGACTTCCAGAACCAAGAAGAAACTGTCATGTGCTAGCTACTGCAGTCCCTAGGTAATTACAGTCCTCATCCCCTTCCAGAGTAATTAAGAAACACAGTCAATTTGTTGAGCAGGAATTAGAATTTCTGATTCTGCTATTTCTTGAACTTAATAGACTAGTTCATGTGGGATTGTCAGGGAAAGAAACAGTACTACATTGAAGCAAAATACCAGTACTGCTTACAGATTTAAGTGGAAATTAGATTTCTCTCTTTAAGTACTGAATAATTCCAAGTTAGAGCTGTTCTGACTTTTCAGTGCAGTATTGTCAATGCTGACCAGGTTCTAAGGTTCTCTTGCTATTATAGATCACTTACATTGTGGATTAAGGGTTTTGGGTAATATGGAAACCTCATTATCCTTTAGGTGGATAATTTACCCTGTGTTGAGGAACAAAGGATAAATAAATTTCCACCCTAGAATTATAGTCTTAGGGAAGATAGATATTCAGCACAGGACTGTAAAAGTAGTTATTACAATCATGGTCCAATGAAAATGGTACAAATGGAAACAGAGAAATCCATATCCTGTAGAACCCAGCTAAGGCAGAAGAAAGTCTTCTGTCTTATACATATTACTCATAGTATGCTATGTTATTACTTTATTTTAACATACCTTTCTCCTTATAGATACAGATTCCCCAAATGCTGGAACTATGTCTTATTTATTTCCATAGGGCCTTCCTTGCACATTTTAGTATTAAGTACATTTTCTTGCTGAATAAATGAATGAGGTGGCATTTCATCTAGGCCTTAGAAGGGTGAATAATTTTCTAAGTCTGCGGGTTCAAGAAGACAGTTTTCTCAGACATACAGAGAAAAGCACCTACAATGGCATGCAGTCTCTTAAAATGCATGAGCTATTTAGGACACAGTGAATTATCTGCTGTGGCTCTAGCTTCCAGAGAAGTTATTGACGTGACACCGGGAACAGAGGGTAAAGCCAGATTGTAAAGAGTCTTGTGTGCCAAATGAAGGAGATTGGCGTCTCCATTTGTGGACGGTAGGGAACAGTTGAGAACTTTTAAGGAAGAGAGAGACACGTGTTTATAAATACCACTGGCGGCTGTATGGTGGCTGACGCACAGTGCCAGAACCATTGGTGGGCCGTGGCAAAACTGTGTCGGAACTGGCACCGGTGCAGGACTGCGGGGAGACACAAGGGCTCCACTTGAAATGTTTTTCAGAAGAAAAACATTCAGTTTTCCAAATAACCGACTTAGAAAAAAACTCATAGCACCATAAATTTTGGGTGTGCTCTACTGTTAGAGTATTCGATAATAAGAGCTATATTTTTTGAGCTTTTAAGTACGTACTGTGTGCCATTTCAATTCTGACAACAACCCTATGAGATAGATTCTATTATTCTCATTTTACTTATGGGAAGCTGAGGTCCAAAAAGGTTATAACTTGCTCACCCCAATACATAAGCTGCTCAGTAGGTTGATAAATGACATAGCCATTATTGAAGTTTGGCTGTAGCACCTGTACTCTTGACCACTACCATTTTCTGTTCACTTTCTTGTTTGTATCCTTTAGGTTCTGACTTAGTTGTCTCCATCCACTTTTTCCTTCAGGATTTAGACTGTAGTTCTGTGACAGATAATTATAAAGGGCCTTTTATTTAATAAATTCAATAATGTAGGTCCGTTGGTTATAAGATGGGACATCCTCCTTTTGTTTAATTCAGAATTTGTTATTTAATATAAGAATCTGCTGTTTTCCTCTTATGAAATCAGTTATTTCTGGAAAGGTGACCAGTGGAAACAGCTTTTGTAGTTCAGAATTTGTGTATATGTGGCCTTGACAGAACTAATAAATTTTCAGAAAATTTCAGAGAATGGATGCTAAGAAACTATAAAGAGAGAAGATTAAATCTGGTTCAGACACATCAATGAATCAGTGGGCAAATTACAGGCTTATTATTAAAGTGAAGTGTACTGGCTCGTTTTATCAGGAAATTGAATCAGAGGCTTCTCTTTGAATTTTAATTGGATCCTAAAAATTGTTAGGGATGTGCCTTATCATATGATCATTTGAAAGCAAATTCTTTTAGCAAAATACTACTTAAATTTCATAGAAAACACACAGGTTAAACCCATGCATTGTTTGAACTTTTCCTCTTGGCTTTAATTTATTTTGATACATTATGTAAGAAAGGTGTAAAAAATGATGCTTTTACGAGTGTAAAGCTCTCAAGTACTGTTTGCCAGACTTTGCAGAAATTTCCTAGTTCTTGGGACGTCTGGGTGGGTCAGTCAGTTAAGTGTCTGCCTTCAGCTTAGGTCATGGTCCCAGGGTCCTGGGATCCAGTCCTGCATCAGGCTCCTTGCTCAGCGGGGGGCCTGCTCCTCCCTCTGCCTTCCACTCCCCCTGCTTGTGCGCGAGCTCTCTGTCTCTCTGACAACTAAATAAAATCTTAAAAAAAAAAAAAAGAAATTTCCTAGTTCTTTTAAGAAAGACTTTGTCAGCTTTGCTAACAGCTGTATCAGAATTTGGCATAGAACCTGATACATGGTATAGTACTCGATATCCATGTAGTCATTGAATAAATTGGAAATTGCTCTTAATGTGATTTTTACACTTTTCTCATGTACTAGGTATTGTTGAGGGTAAAATTAACAGAACTTGTATATAATGTAAACTTACATGATAGTGAAATGGTTCAGACTGAATTTTAGTAAATTGTAATACTCTTCAGTAGGATTTGAAATTTGCATAGTAGTATCACAGGTGATCACAGATCAGAGATATGTGGAAGGTAAAATGCTACAGTTAGAATTTTATTTTTTTCTTTAAAGATTTTATTTATTTGACAGAGAGAGACACAGCGAGAGAAGGAACACAAGCAGGGGGAGTGGGAGAGGGAGAAGCAGGCTTCCCGTAGAGCAGGGAGCCTGATGTGGTGCTCGATCCCAGAACCCTGGGACCATGACCTGAGCCGAAGGCAGACGCTCAACGACTGAGCCACCCAGGCGCCCCTACAGTTAGCATTTTAAGTAACAGATAAATATCAGGCGTTATGAAGGAGATGATGACACCCCTATTTGAGTTAACCTTGAATTGCTCAGATTTATTGAATTGATACCTTGTTGCAGGTTTTGATGCAATGTGTAATTGGTTCTTAAGTTTGTATTTTTTTTTAAGATTTTATTTATTTATTTGACACAGAGAGAGAGAGAGCACAAGCAGGGGAAAGAGGCAGAGGGAGAGAGAGAAGCAGGCTCCCCAATGAGCAGGGAGCCAGATGCGGAGCTCTATCCTAGGACCCTGAGACCATGACCTGAGCCGGAACTTAACTGACTGAGCCACCCAGCTGCCCCTTAAGTTTGTATTCTTAAAGCATACACAGGCACGCATAGCCTCCCTAGTCAGTAAATCAACTCAGGTGAGGAAGTAAACAGTGGTTGTTGGTATCAAGTATTATGAAGGAGAGGCTGATAACCTCTACCTCTATCCTTGAACTACTCAGATTTATTGAATTGATGCAGTGTTGAAGGTTTAGACACAATGCTGACTTTATTCTTAAGCTTGTAGTCTTAAAAAAAAAAAAACCTGTAGTCAGTAAATCAACCCAGATGGAAAAAGCCTTGGTCATTATCCAATGCCATGATATGACCAAACCCTTCCTCATAGCTTGTGCCCATATGACTATAAACTGGTAGAGAAGAATGGTAATTTCAATGGCCATATGCTTCTAACTTAAGACTTGATAACAATCCA